TAGATATATATATATATATATATATATATATATATATATATATATATATATATATATATATGCATGTATATATACACTAGAAAAAGAAAAACTTACTCATTTCGTGCATTCAGCTTTCAAGTGCTGCTGAAATAGCGCAGTATGCCCTGATTTTAAAATATTCCGAAATTAGAGTAACTTAATTTCAGCCTACTCAGTCTTTACTGGTAATCCAAAGTAATGAGAATATGCGACTAGCGAGAATATTGTATTACATATAGTATGTTAGGATAAATAATTTATAGGTGAACTACATACCCTCAGATTTCAATTTGCACTTTCTTATCAACTAAAACTTTGAACTGTATTCTTCATTCGCAGAGTTGAATGACACCACAAAAGAGACATGTTCCGCCTCAGATGTAATCGATGCTTTGCTAGCACATAGATGGTCTATACCACCGAATACGGAGCAGGTATTTCATATTCTTGGTTGTTCCGTGTTTTTTTTTTTGTTTTTCTTTTTGTTGTAACAGTTAACACAAAATTTGCTGTTTTTCCACCAAGAAGGAATCTTTGTGATGTTCTAATTTGAATTAATAATCTTTCGGAAAGGAGTACATAATTTTATGAATCAGAAAACGGGATTGGATTTGATTCAACTGAATTTTTCATACTTTATAGGATTTATATGAATTATTCAATGTGTTCGTTACAACATGGGATGAAGAGTTGGCAGAACTGCGGCATATTCGTGAATCACCCTTGCAGAAAATCGTTGAAATCGTTAGTTTTATATTTTACGTTTTAGTGTCGATTTCTTCGAACCTTTTGTTGCGATTTCCGAAATTGTTTTTTTTTTCTTGCGCATCGTTACCGGTTGATGGGTTAAAATATTTTCTGTCTCAACATCAGCTGATATGAAGAAAGAATTGCTGCATGATTCATAGCATCCTTAGAATGCCTTGCTTTCCATAATTGCCGAACATATTCTAGGAATATCATAAAGCCAAAAATCAAACCTTGATACGGAAAATAAAGTTGCAGGAGCAGGAAAATAAGAAATCGTTGAGTTCAGCGGTCATTGATAAGGAGCCTTTAACGAACACGATCAATATAACTCGCCGGAGTATTGGTGATTCGGCATATGTGGAAGACAGTAAGAAAATTCATGCCAGTGTTTCTCGTAATAATACTACTTTGAGCTCATCCATTGACCCTTACTCTTCGTCGCATACCTCACTGTCATTTGAGCATGTGAAGGTTTGTTTTTATTTTGTTTTCCCACTTCATAAACATATTGGTGAGGTGATATCCTAAGAAACAAGCACTAATCCAGATGGTAGACATACTTTGCAACCAGCTCAAAGTTTCCTTCAGTGCTTATAGGTTTTAGGTTGCCTATTGTTTTCTATTTCATGCATTGTTCATACCAACACACCTGATTTCAGATTCTCAATCAGTGAAATGTTTCAGAATGCTGTAGCAGATGAGAAACTATTTAAACCGCCGTGCATGGGTTTGTTAGCTGTTCAATTGCGTTGCTGTAAAGAAGACTGTCTTTATAAGGTGTGTCAAAATATTTCTAAGCGGTTGTAAGTTGTTTTTACATTTCCGTTATCTCTTCTGAGCCGTTCTACCTACACAACACTAATAGCGACAACTTTCATTAGTTCGTGGATTAAAATGTTTTCTCTCTCAACGTCAGCGAATACGAGCGAAAATCATCTGCTCTGTGTGATCGTTGAAGCATATTATTTTTCACCTGTTTCAGAAAATTCGCGAAGAAAAATTTTGTGCTTTATCACTTTCTTTTCCGAAATCCCCTACTCCGGTAAGTAGTTTATTTATTGTAAATCATGAATTCAAATTTGATTGGTCTATTTGTTATATGAAGTTCAATATTTCTACGTCCATTAGAATTCATTTCTCTTTCATTAGCAAAAATGAATTTGCGATGATTTTTTGTGCTGGTTATTAATAATTTGGAAGTTGCATTTCAATTACGAATTTTAAAAATCAGAAGTAATATCTAAGCTTTCATGTTTTATTACACGAAAATTTCATGCACGTGTGTGTTGTGATGCCCAGAATTGAATGTCGAGTATGATGAACAAAAAAAAGTGCGTTTTCAGCTTACGTATCAGAAAGAAACTGATTTCTGATTAGTTAAAGGAGTAAAAGAAATGATTCCTTTCAGTTGCTGACATTTTCAAAATTACTGGAAAGGTATTTTGCCCCTGAATACATCCAAGGTGCATCATGCGACCGATGCTTGGAAAGGAAGAAAGATTCGTCCGGTGGATTAATGAAAAAACAAGGATTTTGTAAGGTGGTTTTAAGATTTTTGGCGGTTACTATATTTCATTTACTTTACACTATATAATATACATGGGCTTTTTTTTTTCACGCAGTCTATGTGACAGCGTGAGATTCTGAATATAACAATCTAATATCAGATCATTTTCGCTATCGGTTTCAACTGAACCATGGTTTTCTTCGTAGAATTTACTGTTGCCATCTTTTAGTTGCCGTCTTTATTGATATTTCGTATCGAGCGAGTTGGATTTTCTCCCAATGGATATGTTTTCAAACGTATTGAACGTTTTTTGGTTCCTGAATTCATTGATCTCGAAGAATACTGTTTCTTCAGCGAACAAGTTTGATTTTTAATAAGTCAATAGATAGACAAATTTACTTATTTTCTGGTATTATCTTCAAAGGAGTGGTATAATGTCCCTAGCGATCTGTAAATTATTTTTTATCTCTCCAAATTTGGCCATTTCTTCTTTTGATTCGATAAATCTTCACATCTTTTCGTCTCGATTTTGTTCTGTATTATAATTTAAAGACTTTCATCTTTTCTTTTTAACAAAAAACTAATTCTGTTTAATTTCAGAAAAAGCCAAGACAAACAAAAGATTCATTATCAAATTCCTATTTTCGAGTTTTGGGCGGTTCAGCTTTAAATACGGCATCTGCTATCCCAGAAGCCAAAAAACAGCCTCAACAAAGCATGCAGCTGTCTTTAGTTAGGTGAGTCAGTGTTTTTCTGTTCAGTTCTTTGTTAGGCGTTTGTCAGTTTTATGTTTTTTGCTTTTCAGAAGTGGGACAAATTTTCGTGAATGTGATAGTATGTTCAAATATAAGTACCAGTTGCGTGCTGTTTCTGCACATATTGGACAAGCTCATTCGGGTCATTTTATTACTTACCGTAGGGGAATCGGCGTTCAGAATCGATCTACTTGGTACAAAACGAGCGACACGGAGGTGAGCGTTGTAGAAGGGATGCGAAATATTCAGAAATCAATTTTTTTATTATGCAGAATTTATTAATGAAAAAACGTTATCTTATTCATACAATTCGAAATTGAATGATTTTATCTAAAATTTGTTTAGGTGATGCCAGTACCGTTCGCAGAGGTGGCATCATCAGAAGCATATATGCTCTTCTACGATCGTGCTCTAACTATGTTAAATTAAACATGGAAAGGTCCAGGAAAAGAACATTCATAGTGTGTACACGTTTATGTGAGGGTCAGATTAGTCATTTTTATATTTTTTGCTGGGTAACTCATTTCTGTCAGAAACATTTATCTTGTTTTATTCCAAGATGCAAAAACATACCTTCGAAAAGTACGAAACTTCGCTTCGCTTTTTTTCTTGCTTTTTTACTGCATATAATATTGCAGTAGTTGTAGACAAAATCCTTTTAGATAATTGTTTTATAAGCAGGCTTGTGAATTTCGATGTTTAACACCTGTATTTTGAATCATTTTGCTTTACTGTTGTATTATTTATTGTTAGGAAGCGGGTTGCTGCTTGACTGAGTTACATTTCTTTGTTATTCTGATGCTCAAGTATTCAAAAGAAGTATAAGTGATGGCAACCTTTTCTATCTGCAGTATATAACAGGAAGCCATTCCATACTGCAGTTCGGCATCACTTCATCTCTTTCTCTGAAATGTATATATCGTTATATTAATAATAAGTGAGGCTGAGATATGTTGTTTTTATCCTTTCATTTTAAACTGTGAGCAATAATTATTATGTCTGGCACATATGCATTCTTTTTGTTCCAGTTGTTTAAAGTTAATTATGGTGTTCATTTTCATTCGTCAAATTCGGGTTTACCACTGCAGAATTTTGGTAAATTTTAACACTCTGGACCATTATTCTCTCTTTCTGGAGATTTTAGTTGTTTTGTTTCAAGTAGATATTTCCATCATGAAAAACGTTTTGAATGCATCTTTTACTCATTAACTGCAAATAAAACATATCCATAATATTTATTTGGATTGAATAGTTTGTAGAATTTTTACGACTTTGAAAGGCACTACCTGATTTTGAAAATGGAGCATCTCTCAATGATGTAGTAGGGTAGCTTCAAAAGCTAACGGATAACAGTAACTTTGATTTTGGATATGGTTTTACCAATGGGCGACATAAATGAGGAATTTTAAAAGTAGGTAAGGTTTACGGTATTTGAATTTAGACATCTGAAATAAGGGGATCGCGAACCAGACTGTTTAAGTTTGTGGATAAATAATTATGGCTGAACACCTGTTTTGCTCATCTACCGTTTAGTTTCAGTTAAAAGCAGGTGAAATACCAATGAGCGATAAGATACCCGAGAATTTTGATGTGATTATTTTGGGTACTGGACTTCCAGAATGCTTGATTGCAGCTGCTTGTGCTCGTTCTGGTCTTAGTGTTTTGCATTTGGACAGGTAAGTTGGAGATGTAATAAATATAAAAGCTGATTAAGATTTTACTTTTTGATATTTGTTGGGGCAGGGAGTTTCTATAACGAAAAATCATGTAGAATCGTTTTTATGTAAGAAACGATTATTATGGTGATTTATGGGCCTCATTCAATTTACGAACGGTCGAGAGTTGGTTAACGGGAATTAGAAGAAATGATAATGGAGCTCGAATCCTGAGTCATCCTGAATCTTTCTTGCGTGATGATGAGGAATTTTTGCCGACTACATATCGGTCTTTTATTAAGAATGTTCAAAAGCATTGCTACCACAGGTAGGTCTTCCGCTGTGACTTCTATTTCGGTTCTGTTTGTTGAAAGTTGGGTTTTTTTGAAATTAAGCATAAATATATTGTATTGTAGTCTGACTTGGAAAGCAGTAAAGGCGTATAACATGTATATATATATATATATTTGTTCATTTATTTATTTACTTGTTTATTTACTAATTTATTTATTTATTTATTTTGTTTGTTTGTTTATTTTTTTATCCATTCGTCTGTTTGTTTTATTTATTTACTTGTTTCTTCATTTATTTATTTATTTATTTGTTTATTTATTTATTCAACTAATTAATTAGCCTGTTTATTTAATTAATTAATTAATTTTTTATCTGTTTGTTTACTCATTTATTTATTTACCATTCATTTATTTGTTTATATTTACATTTATATTTATTTATTTATTTGTTTGTATTTATATGTGTATTTATCCACTTATTTATTTATTTTATTTATTTATTTAATTAATTAATTTATTTACTTATTTATTGGTTTATCTATATTCATGTAGTTTAAATATTTACATTTATATTCATATTTGCTTTTGAGTTACGATCGTGTTGATGGTACTGAGGAACAGGATGGTATATTAGCTCCATGTTTGTGGGATATCGATCAGCAGTGGCGAAAACTCAATTTGGATCTTTCGCCTAAGGTTTTTTGTCACTGTACTGTCAACCTTTTGGTCAAAAATTAGGAATGGTTATACTGGAATAGAAGAATTGATACTGTTGTTTATTTCTTCCTAAATGAATTTGATAGACTACATAATCACCCATGCATACATTCGAACAAGCGACTGCTCCTTTCTTTAATTCTAATAGATCGGAAACTTCTAAATTCAGGTATTACCGCTTATTTAGTTATCTTTTAAATCTGACAAATTAACTCTTTAAGAGTTTGATGACGCGTTATATTTCAGGTGTTACTGAGTAGAGGTGATATGGTAAAGCTGCTATGTGATTCGGGTGTTGCTAAATATTGCGAATTCAAGTGTGTTGATCGACTTCTGAGCTATGCATCAAATGATGGTCTAAATTCGCTTGAAGTTGTTCCATGTTCTCGAGGAGAAATATTTCGAAGTGATGTTATTTCGTTCGTTTCCCGTTATTTATTTTCTAGATTTTTCCTCAGGCTCTTTGGGTCTTTCTTTTGAAAATGATTTTCCTCTTAGGGTCTTTTTAATTGTCGAGTTCTTCACCATATGCGGGTAATCTGCTTTTATAGCAATACTGATTTTTGTTTGTATTATGGTTACTGTTTACCGGAAAAACTAGATCCATCAGTTGTATCTCTGTTGCTAAGAAAACACATTCAAATTTGTTATTTTATCGTTGTATGTTTTGGCGGGTATTCACTTAGAAAAAAAAAGGTATTAGGTTTATATTTTACCTTAGAGAACAATCAAGGAAGGATGATGAGTTTATATTCAGAGTACAAGATAAACGACGAGTGATGAGATTTCTCCAGAAATGCATTGAATGGCGGAAAAATCCTGATGAAACCGATAGTTGGAAAGGTAAGCAGTCTCTCGAGTACCTCCAACAGAAATTAAGTGCTGACGACAGCGAGGTCTTTGTCGAATCTTTAATTTTATCTGCCAACTATTATTATGCAAACTTTGAAGCAAATCGACATTACCGTAAAGTTGTTTTTGAGAAAGAATTAATATTTCAATAACAGTATCAAAAATTATGGTATTTCAAATATCAGATATTAATGAAGTTGCATTTCTTTTAAGAATATGCTGAAAAGCCGTTTGATGCTTTCGTGGAATCTATGGGCATCGTAGGTTATGCGAAAAATATACTTACTAACACTTTGGCAATCTTGAACCCATCAGCCAGAACTAAAGAGATAAGTTGCCTACGTTTACAAAATGTTCTGTTCTAAACAAACCGTATCCAAATTTTGTCAGTTGATTCGATTGCTCTCTTGGATAAGATCAATTTTTGAATTGCTAAAATATTCTGTGTTTTGAGTCGAAAATTCGAACTGTTTCACTTTTTTATTGTTCGTATCCATGCATCGCACGACAAAACTACCAAAATTATTGAACATGCATCAATATGGTCACGTATAATCTGTCATACCTTATCAAAAAATTAAAAGGCTTGGAAGCAGTGTGGCAATTTATGGAATCTGTTGGACGCTTTGGTGATTCGCCATTTTTGTGGACACTATACGGTAGTGGAGAGCTACCGCAATGTTTTGCCCGGCTCTGTGCTGTTTTTGGTGGAATTTATTGCTTAAATCGTTCGGTTGATGGTTTTGTCATCGCCAACGGGAGGTGACAGTGTTAATGGAGAATTCTGATAAAATTTTTAATATCTTTCGGCAATTTTACCATTTTATTAAATTATGAAAAATGGGAATGTTAGTGGAAAATCGTTAATTTTAAGATTCTGTTATTGATGATTTTAGAGTAGTAGCGGTAGTGACGCAAGGCCAACGAATAAATTGTAACTACTTAATCGCAAATGGGGCATATGTGCCACAGCAGTATATAAACACCTCACTGGAAACGCGATTGAATCGAGTTATGATGATCACAAATCGTTCTATTCTACCGGACCCCGAGAAAGAACATGTAATTTATCACTTTTTCAGGATTTGTTTTTTTTTTCCAAATGCTAATAGTCAATATAAACAAGATATGTTTTGTCGCTGTTGATATCAGAACTAAATCTTATATTTGCTTGATTTCCGCTACCACTACGTTAACTTTTTTAGATCAGTTTATTAAATATCGCCACTTTGAGAAATATATTCCCGTATTTACTGGAAGTTGGATATGAAGGTTGCGTAGCACCAAAAGGAAGATGTTAGTTCTTGAATTGTTTTTGTCAGTGTAAATTTTTTATTACATATATGGTCATAATCGTTTTTTTCGAAAAACATTGGTAATTTCCCAGTTTTTAAATCATTCTTAATTATTCTTCTGGTATAAAACTCGCGTATTTGGCACGCAAACTAATATTTGATGTTAAGGCAATCACTTGATAGCTAATAAACGGTAATCCTTTTGCATTTGTTTATCACTGTTCAGTTTTGCTCTTTTGATAATAAAATCTGGAATGCCATTCTTCTACTTCACTGATGGCATTTCGTGAAATTCAGACTACATTCAAGTTTATATATTTTTCGAATTAAAAAATACAAACCGGACTGATTTTAGACGTTGTTCATATAACTGCACGAAGTAACAGCTGTGCAGGCACTGTCTTCAAACCTATCACTGATCTTTTTTTCAGTGTGATGAACAACGGTAACTATGATTTTCTTACTTTAACAGATTTGTTCTTTTGTTTTCATCCCAGTTTTTTAGTATTATAATTTATAATTTCTACACTCTCTGATTTAAACTTAACGGATCATTAAATCCATTAATATTATTAATATCTGATTGCATTTTCATGAAAAGTTTCAACCAGTTTTCATATTTAGAACTCAGTTCAAGTAAAAGTTTTTTTTGCAAAGAAATATTTTTCCCTAACCTTGAATCCAGTGTAATTACGGAGTTTACCTTAGTTGTAAATTTGAAGAAATTACCCGCTTCTAATTAAAAACGAATCAATAAAACTGAAGCATTGGTAATACAATTTTTACAGAAGAAGTGAAGCCTCAAATCTTGTGGTCTCTTTATTTTGATTTAGTTTTACCATCGGTAATTTCCGATATCTTGCCCACAAATATGCGAGTTGTCCCAAGTGTTGATGAACATCTGGATTATACCCGGATTATTTGCGAGGTGACTTTTAAACTTATCAGTGTTAACTGTATTTTTTCGTCTTGGATAATTAAATTTTTCCTACATTCACCGTCAAGTGTATCTACCTGATATTAGTTTTACCTTCGCATAAATCGTTGGATCATTTTTAAGGCTAATATCATTATTTTTTATAGGTTAAAAAAATTTTTGAAGAGCTCTGGCCGGATCGCGATTTTTTGCCACCCTCGCTGGTTGGAGAAGAAGAAGAAGAAGAAAGGGATTTTGATATAGCAAATGTTGAGAGGGAACAGAAAGTCACGAAAGATGAAGTATTCTTGAACGAAATCATATAATTGACATAATTAACGAGTTAACCGCATAATGACATGCTTTCTGTTAAAGGACAATGAACAACCATTTTTTCTGTTGTTTTTTTTTTTGAGCAAATCAGTTTTTGTAAATTCCATCCAGTGAATCTTTATAAATCCCATAGTCGTTTTCGAAGAATTCTATGAAAAAGACATGGTTATGGAGCACTTAGGATCGTGAAGAAAATAATTTTTCTTTCATTTGTTTTATATGAGCATAAGAAGGGAAATAAGAGATAGAAAATAAAGCTTATTGCCATTTTATTTCTTTTACTTTGATTTATTCTCATATTTATTTATGTATTATAAATTATGAATTCATCATTTTTCATATTGTTATCAAAATGTAAAATGAATCATGTATTTGCAAATATGATGTTAAAGTTATAATATGATCATTACATTGTAACAAAATTCCTTTATTCTACAACATTTGAGCGTCATATGGCAGCCTTGTTAGATAGTTTAAACTTTAACGTCATCATTTATGTACAAAGATTTTGTTAATAATTTAGTAAACAAAGCATTAGAGTTCAATTTTTCGAATTTCCAAAAAAAAAGAAAAAGAACGGTTGTAGTTGTTTTCGCTTCTTTTAGGTTTTTTTTTATTTTTCTTTAATGTAAAAACTATCTCATTGATTAAATTGCATGAAGAGTTTCCGGAAATTTGTTTCAGCTAACAATTAAAGAGGACATTGAAGCTTTTAATAGAAATAAAATGTAACTTATTTTCAGCAGTACTTTATTGTAGATTCTCATGAATGTTGAATGATAAAATTTGTATACGAATAAAAGTATAAATTAGAAATAGTCGACATTATATTAAACCATTTATTAACTATATTCTATTTAATTAAAATGAAAGTAATAGCATAAAATGCGATCTATCAAATTATGAACGTGTAAGAGAATCATATATAAGTAATTATTTTAATGTTTTCCAAAATAGCTATAAACGAAATTAATCTTAAATATGGATGATGACGATAAAATTGACTTTTATTGGTGCAGAGAAATATTTTTATCGATTATTCGATGCGAATATATTTGAATTGTTTGATTAATTAAATTTTAATTTCATTTTAGTTTTTGATTTCCAATAGTTTTAGCTTATTGAAATGATTGATGTATTGTGTACTTTGTTGCAGAGAAAGAGATAGTTTGTTACAAAGTGATCAATAGAGTGAAAGATTTGAGTAAATAATGATGATGTATAGTACGGGAAAAAAAAAAAGAAAGGAAGAAGGAAAGAAAGAAATAGCAATTCTAGGTAAAAAGGGTAAGGAAGTGTAAGTATTGATTCAAAACAATGTAGTGAAGAGAGTATGAAAAAAAGAAGAAAAGAAAGTAAGTAGAATATGGGAAGAGGGAGAAGAGATTTAGAGAAGCAAACGAACTTTCAATTTTAGTTCGTTAAAAGAAGCGGCACTTTAAGATGTAATCATTCTCTATTTGTTGCAGTAATTCTATTCCCATTTCTAATATTCATATGTATAGACTTCAATATCGATTATACTGATAATGATATGATATGATATGATATCATATCATATCATATCATATTCTTTAAATTATAATAAGCAGTAAATTTGATTGAATATTATTGATAATATTTAAAATATCCAACAGCTGGTTGATATGTCAACGATATCATTTGACAGATGTTACCAAATTAAAAGAGTTAGTTAAGCAGAAGTAATAATTGATTTGTATGCATTCGAATATTGCTAATATTTTCTTTTTTATTCTCTCAATTCATTTTTTTTTCTTTTTATTTTACATTTCTTATTTGAATTTCAGTATATTCGAAAAAAAAAATTTTTTTATTCTTAAACATTTACTTGAATTTTTATGTC